CCCCAAAACCCCAAAACCCCAAAACCCCAAAACCCCAAAATGCTTCTAGAACGTAAAGATTTATTATAGATATTTAGAGTCTGTCATATTCATTCTGCCGTTTTTTCTTGAGTTCTTCAGCTAGCATCTCATATTCGCCCTGAATGGCCAACTCATCTTTCTTTTCATAATAACCTTCAAGTGTCTTTGACATGAACAGATAAGTCCTACAGAGGGAGGTTAGAGTAAAACCTTTTAAAGCTCAAACAATCTTGAAATATTACCTTGACCCTGGACTTGCAGTAGAGAAATTAGTTTTCCCAGCTGATAAATTTGTTTCCTTTGAAGGTGTACCCTCCAGAGGGTGCCAATCATCCTTCTTTACGTACTCATTCATCACTGTACAAACAGTAGCCACTGCAGTATGGTTTGGGTAAACTCTCTTATGCGTATGGCATCCGAAGAGTTTGTACTCTGGATTCAATAATTCATCATAATACTCAATAATTAACAGAGTCAAAATCTCAACTACTGAGGTAGTCGGAAAAGCAATAGTGAGTTCATTTGCGAACCCTGGTGCAAAATCCGGATCTTTTATAAACCCTTTGAGTCGTTCGTAAAACGTTTCTCAAAGGCTATTATATTGTCCTGAGACATCACTACTTCATACATCTCTTGAGTGGTCAGCTGCTCACGACTGTAAATTCTCATCGTAATTGAGAGGAGCCCTAAAGCATTCTTGTTCTGGGTATTCTCTATTGAGAGCTTGAATGTCCTTAAAAAACCTGTAGAGGCCATCTAATTTTGCTTTATTTAATCTTAACGACATGACCAGATTCCATCATGAATGTGTATCATTTTTCTGGAATAATTGCTTGAAAAACAAGGATCCTTATCAAACTTGGATTATACCTAAAAATGTTGATCCCTCTCATAACCAAAGCACAATGCTCGGTGAGATCACCGTCATTTGGTCTGATTATAGGAAGTTCATAATGATCAGTGAAATACTCTACTAGAATCGGAAAGTCAGTTATCTTGAACAAGTCCTCCCATTGTTCTATAGTATGACCCTCATATATTCCATCAACTTGAAACTCCTCAAATTCCTTGTTAAAGTTCTGTTCATTTTCTGAAGGTTCAGAATCTTCATAATCAGACAAAGAAGAAGAGAGATCATCACGGTCTGTAGAAAAGTAACTACCATGGCTTACTGTTCCTCTGCAAAGCTTGAGAAACTTGTTCGTACTCTACAAATTATCATCCCAGAAATACCTTCAGATCCATCTTCCTTGATCTCCTCAATATGCTGTATGTTAGCGGTCGACTTGAACATTTTCTTAGGCGGCCGGTTATAAGTCAGCTCCTTTTTGAATTCTTCTTCCCTCATTTTCTCAAGATTGAGCTGATTCATGCTAAAAACGGCAAATAAGAATCGCCAGAGCATGAAAAGACTTACGTCTGCCAGCTGTTTATACCTGGTAGGGTGTTTCTCAGATGTTCATGAATTTCTGGTCTTGCTCCTCAAGCTTTTGCCTCTCTAATTGTGCTCGCTTAATAGCCTTAACTCTGCTATTGTTAGAGTTCCAACAGCCCATTTTGTAATAATTAATAATTTTAAGAGAAAGTTAGGGGTTTTGGGGTTTTGGGGTTTTGGGG